CTTAGGAACTAGTGGAAGAGAACGTTGACGAAACCAGTGACGAGGAAGTAATGCATCATGAGGACACTGAGCTAGTCTTAGGTCAGGCTCAGGTACTGGACGAATAGGTGACTAAATTTTTTTAGAGATTTATTTTATCCTTTTTCATGCAATACCTTTTTAATTTTTAGAATAATCAAAAAATTTATTCAATTCTTTGTGCTTAAAAAAATAATGTGGAAGAAGCTGGAGAAGAGGAACTTGACGCTGCGTTGGACGTACCTCAAGGTCAACTACTGGACAAACCAGTGACTAAATATTTTAAAATTTTTATTTTATCCTTTTTATGCAAACCATTTTAACTTATAGAATAATTTAAAAAATTATTCAATTCTCTATGGATAGGAACATGAGGAGAATGAGGAAGAACATATGGAAGAAGTTGGAGGAGAGGAAGTTATGCATGCTGAGGAAGCTGTAGGGCTGGTGGTCCAACCTCAGCAACTAGATGAACTGGTGACAAAGTATTTTTTTTTAGAGTTTTATTTTATATTTTTTTTATTAAACATTATTTTTACTTAATGAGAAGAAAGGCAAAATTTTAAAATTTTTCTATTCAAAATCACAAGAATTATAGCAAACATCATGCTAAAAGAAATGACTAGTCTATCTTGCTGAATCTTGTGATCATTAGTGTATTTTTATTGCTTGTTTATGTTGTCTAATTTATTAAATGTGAACTCTTTGAATGATAAATTGTGTGTATTAATTATTTTTAACTTTTAATTATTTTTATTCTTTTACTAATACAACTTATGTACATGCATAAGGGATATTTATGGAATCAAAGTTTCGTCTCTCTCCTTAAAGTACTTTTTTAATGTTACTTTTTCTAATTGGACTAATTTTGTTATTAAAATCTTAACCTCAGGGGAGATTTGTGTACTTTTACAAATTTTAGGGGAGGCTAGTGTGTGACGATCTCAAAATTTTATTAATTTCTGAAAAATTAAATCAAAAATATCATTTGAATATTGAATTTATTAAATAATATGTATTTGTATTTAAATATTGTTGTTTTACTTATATAAATGTTATATTTTAAATTAAAGGAATTTTAAAAAAAATTTAATTGACGATTCGCGTTCGGTTAAGCATTAAGTTGGATTTTCGCGCACCAACGCGCAATGTAGTTCTAAGTTGAACTGTAGGATATGTAGAGGTTATAAAAATATATAATTAAATTGAGGAATGCTAGATGAGGAATTCCCACCATTATTGGCATGCCCAAAAAGTCAACTAACCTACTCACTAGATTACCCCAATTTTCCTCCCATCTTGTCACCATCTACCCACCATTTTCTTTCCCTCCAAGCTCCCGATCCTCTGGTGCAAGAAGAAGCAGAAGCCGCTGCCATTCCAAGCTTCCAACAGCTTTCCATCTTCAGCCATTCACACCCCAATCTTCAAGCTTCCATTTCCAGCTTCCACCTCCATTCCTTGCTGCTGTCTCGATCGAGCAAGGAAAAGGAGGATCGCAGCTCCTCCTGCTGCTGTTGTTACTGCTGCTGCTGGCGTTGCGTCGGACCAGGGGAGAAGGAGAAACCAGCTGCCATTTTTCTTTCCTCCAACCACAGAACCTTCCAAGCTGACCCTCTGTGGTTCTAGGAGAAACTTGAGGAACTAGACAATACCTTTAGCTAGTAAACAACCCGCTTGAAGGTAACAAACTCCAGCTTAACCCCTTAGCCAAAAAAAAAAAAAAAAATTTCAGAAGCTTTTGTTCTTGAAATTTCTAGCTTGTGTTGATAAAATTATTGGGTGGCTAATCCTCTAAGCTAATGATGGATGAAGCTAGAGGTGATTTATGTATTTATATGTGTGTTTTGCTGAAGTTAGAGGTTGAGAAAATTTTGAAAGAATGGAAAGGAATGCTGGCCGAATGGGAAAGCAAAAAAAAAAAATTCCAGTTTTGTTGCCGCTTGTCTTCCTGCTATTTTTGCTTAAGTAATGAACTGAACTATTTGTTGGGATGTTAGACTAGTTGGTTGTGGTTGTTATGGACATGATGTATGAGTTTACAAGTCGAAAATTTTTGAGGAAATGAAGAGAAAATTGTACTCTGCTAAACCGAACCAGCAGGCCTGTTTTTCTCCCAACTTTACCCGAATTTTTGAGCTGGTTTTGTGAAATAATTGAGCTACTTAAATCATGTATATGTTAACCTATATGTGTAGTGTAGTTTTGGCTGAATTGTAGCTTTTGGGTAGTTGAAAAATTTTGGACAAATTGAAGGGAAAGAGGACTGCTGCTGTCGAGTGAACCTCCAGCTTTGCATAGGAAATGTTGAACTGTTTTCACGTTAACTTGAACCCAATTGATTTGTGTTTAGTTCAGGGGTTTGTATAGCTCAATTTGGGACAAAAATCTAGTAGAGTTTACGTCCAAAAAGTGGACCAAAATTTTGTTCTTCATGATTCTTCTAAAACAGATTTTTCCGTTTGAAATTGGAATTTGATAAACTTAAGGAGTTTCTATTTTATAAAAATTCTAAAGGCTAGTTTTACTTGATTTTTATGATTTCCTCTTAAAAGAAACTTCCTCAGATACTTTTTTTTTTTGGGAAAAGTAGAGGGGAAATTTCTCTAAGTGGTTTAAATGTGATTTTCTCAACTTGTGACACCAAATTTATTGTTAATTATTTGGGTGGTTCTAAAAATTTGTTGGTGGAATATTTGAAGAATTTAACAAGTTTTTGGTTTTATAGAAACCTCAAAAGTTAATTCCACTTGATATTCGTGACTTTCACTTTGAGAAAACGATTAAAGCTAGTTTGGAATCCTTGAGTGGAATTAAATGCTAGTTAACTCGAGTTAAACTCGCCAACTCAAAAGTAGAAATTTATGTGAATTATTTGTATGTTTTTTTTTAGGAGTTGGTGAAGGGCACAATCTTGGTCAAAGTTTGGAATTCTAAACACTTCACTTAAGGTGAGTGTCTCTCGCATGAATTGTGTTTAACTGCTAGATGAACTACTTGTTATAAGTACTTGCCTGAGATACCATGAAATATGACCTGCTATGTGATCATGTGAAATATCATAAGTACAAGGTTTGCAATGTCGATTGGAGCGCGGTCTCGTCGACTAAATAAACCAAACGGAAGCATGTACCACGCTCTAATGGAGTAGGAGGTACCTCTCGACCGTTTTGGTAAAAGTATTTGCAATATTCATGTTGGAGTCGGGCCCGAAAATAAGGGGGAGGTCGTTGCTAGGAGACAAGTAGAGTAGGAAATATTTTATATGGAGGTTAGGTAGTAAAAGTTGACGGAGTGTCAACTACCAAAAATTTCCTGATCAAGCGCGTGGACTTTGGCTCCTGAGAGCCCCGTATCCTTTTCTTGTCATGATAATTCACTTTTTTAAATTATTAATTGCTTACTTGACAACTTATACTTGTTAAATTGGCCCTATGTAAATTGCATGTTTCGAGGCACCACTGAGCTATTGGCTCATCCCTTCCAATTTGTTTTCCTTGACAGGTTCCGAAATGCAAGAAACCTTGGAGATCTAGAATAGAAATGTTATCTTTGGAATGCCCACTTTTGTAATTGTACTTTGGAAAAACTTTAGTATCTTTTGGATGACTTTTGTGTCTTTGGGAAAATATGAATCCTATGGTGCTTCTGTGCCCTGGATTAGGAACTTTATATTGTAAATTAAGTTGAAATTAAGTATTTTAAGTTCGACGTTTTCATTGGTGTTTGAATTTTTCTTTTGGACAGGGTAAGTTGAATGGTACGATTTGTTTAAGTACTTGGTTTATTTGGGAGGTAAAGTTTATTTACGAATTATATTTGATGATGTTAACTCGTTGAGCAAGTGAGTCCTAGCGAGAGTTAGGCAGGCGACCCGCCAACCCTTTGGTTCGCCTTAGGGGGAAGTGGGGCCGTCACAGGTGGTATCAGAGCCTTATGTTAGAACGTATTTGGGAGAATTGTTAGGTATTTTATTCCTAGGAATAGGAACGAGATACTCAGATATATTTTAAGTGATAATTGATCAAGGGAATGGTGCTAAGGTTTAACTTTGAAAGTTTTGGCTGTTTTGTAGGTATGGAGAACCCTAATGGGAACGGACATGCTGCTAATGGTAACGGGCACGTGAATGGTCACGCGCCGCCTCTTAGGCCTATTTCTTACCGAGTTCAGGGTGGTGGAGCTCGTGTTCAGTACTCGCCCGCCACCAGGGTTCCTAGGTGTGACTGTAGGTTGACCTTCTCTTACCCCAATCGCTTGGTTCTGGCTATAGACGATGAACGTCAACAGTTGGTGAATTCCAACATAGCCCTGATTCAGGACGTGGACGAGTTGGGTGCCATGATGGCTAATCTGCAGAATAGGGTAGCAGAGCTGATTGGAAGGGTGATAGAGGAGAGAGTTAGGGCTGAGGCAGACCGTGAGGAGCTGCAGAGAGCAAGAGACAGCTTGGCTAGGATGAGAGACATGGTTCGTGAGCGAACTTCTGGGATATTAGTGGATGCTACCATATTGATGGATGAGGTGATGGATGAGATCTCGGAGGTAGTTCCTAGTGCTGAGGAGGATCCAGAGGAGGACCCGGAGGAGGATCCTGATGAAAGGAATTCATCTGATGGTCCCGTTGAGGACTAGGCATAGTTAACCACCCTTTTGACTTGTAACCCTTAAACAATTGTTGGGATGGTGCTAACTCATGGGTCATTGTATTTTTGTAATTGTATGGCTCGCTTTTGTGATGTTGCACTTCTTTTGAATGTAAAGGACTGGCTGCACCTGGTAGCACCTTTGTGCTATATTTTTGTAAAATCCCAACGAAATACTAATTGTAGGAATTTCAAAGATTAATGTATGCGTTAGTTGTGGTTATTTTATCGCTCTCAAGTTGATCTTCATTTTACATAATTTTTCTACGTTGTTCTTTAATTTTACATAAATTTCTGCATACTTACTTCTCTTTCTTGCATTAGGCATAACTAGGTATGGATCACCGTGGTAAAGGCCGAGGCCGAAGTCGAGGTCGAGGTCGAGGGAGACGGGTTGAACCCCTCCGTGATCAAGGGGGCGATAGAGCGTCTGAGGTGAACCAAAATCATGGACCCGAGGGCGGGGGCGGAGATCAAATGGCCACCGCTATTAATAGGATAACTGAAGTACTAGAGCGTTTGGCGGACCGTCAAGGTCCTGGATTAGCGCAACAACAACCTGGATGGCAGGTAGATACGGAAGATAGGGCTTTGGAAAGGTTCCTGAAGTTTGGGCCGCCTAAGTTTCAAGGTGGGCCAGAGCCTGAGATAGCTGAGGGATGGTGGGAGAGAATATCTGATATTTTTACCACCCTGGATTACACTGAAGGGCGAAAGGTGACCTTTGCGTCATTTCAATTTGAGGGAGTTGCACGGTCATGGTGGAATCTAATTAAGGCTAAGTGGGATAGAGACCGTACCCCTAGTACTTGGGCAAATTTCACCCGTGAGTTTAACGCCAAATTCCTTCCAACCCTAGTCCAAGAGAAAAAGGAAGATGACTTTATTAAGTGCAAACAAGGGGCCATGAGTATAGCAGAGTATGAGACCAATTTCACTAAATTAGCTCGTTATGCCCCTGACCTTGTAGCCACTGAGCAGAGACGCATTAGGAGATTTGTGCAAGGGCTCAATGTAGAGATTCAAGAGGGGCTAGCAACTGCTCAAATTAGCACTTATAGTGACGCCGTGGAGAAAGCTCAGAGGTTTGAGACGGCTAGAGCCCAATCTAAGTCATTCTTTGCTAGAAAAAGGAATGCCCCTAGTGGTAGCAGGGACCCAGTTTCGGCAAGTGCCTCACCGCTTAAGATGGGTAGAGGAACTGGGGTAGTGAACATCCCTAGTGCTTTGAGAGGTGCTTTAGCAAGGGGAGCTGGAACTAGAGGCTCTGGGGCGAGAGGTTCTGGAATAAGAGGAGGTCAAAGTGGAAGGGGACCCTCTAGGAGTGCTCCGCGCGTTGAACAAGTGTCAACCCCTCAGATAACCTGTGGTTACTGTGAAAAAGTCAATCATACCGCAAATGAGTGCTGGAGAAAGGAGGGCAAGTGCCTCAGGTGTGGAAGTGCTGAGCACCAAATTGCTAATTGTCCTAAGATTTCCGAGAATGGGGAAAGCCAAGGAGGTGCCACAATTTCTAGGCAAACTACTTCTGGAGGGAGTCGGCCAAAGGTTCTGGCTAGGGTTTACGCCCTAGATAGTCAACATGTACCTGACCCTTCGGAGGTAGTCGAAGGTACACTTCCAATCTTTCACCGATTAACTAAGGTTTTAATTGATCCCGGTGCGACCCATTCATTTGTTAATCCTGCTTTTATGTGTGGAATTGATGTAAAACCTGTACGATTACCCTATGATTTGGAGGTTAGGACTCCTACAAGTAACAAGAGCATACTCACTAGCTTAGTTTATCAGGAGTGTAAATTCTGGATTAGGGAACGAAAAATACTAGTTGACTTGGTGAGTTTGGACCTTAAGGGGTATGATGTGATGTGATTATAGGAATGGATTTTTTGTCTTACCACCATGCGAAGCTAGATTGTAGAGCTAAAGTGGTGGAATTTTGCATCCCAGGTGAGGCAACGCTTAAGTTAGATGTAAGGGGTAGATTAGTTTCGTCTGCTTTGATTTCAGGGATTCGAGTTAGGAAAATGCTTTACAAGGGAGCCCAGGGTTTCTTAGCTTTCTTAATTAACGCCCCTAGTGACCAAGTGAAATTAGACGATGTGCCAATCGTGCGAGACTTTCCTGATGTCTTCCCTGAAGAATTAACATCTTTATCACCTGAAAGGGAGATAGAGTTTAAGATTGACTTGGTACCAGGAGTAGCTCCAATTTCTAAGACTCCTTATAGAATGGCTCCTGCGGAATTGAAAGAACTAAAGATCCAGTTACAGGACCTGCAAGAAAGATGTTTTATTAAGGAAAGTGACTCAACGTGGGGAGCTCCAGTTTTGTTTGTAAAGAAAAAGGATAGGAGTTTGAGACTGTGCATTGACTATCGAGGTTTAAATGAGGTGACTATTAAGAATAAGTATCCTTTGCCCTTGATTGATGGATTATTTGACCAATTGCAAGGATCAGTAGTATACTCTAAGTTAGATTTGAGACAAGGGTACTATCAATTGAGAATTAAAAAGGAAGACATACCTAAGACTGCTTTCAATTCTAGATATGGGCACTTTGAGTTTGCAGTGATGCCCTTTGGGTTGACCAATGCCCCGGCTGCTTTCATGAATTTAATGCAGAGAATCTTTAAGAAATATCTAGACCAATTTGTGGTAGTATTCATAGATGATATTCTAGTACATTCTAAGACCCGAGAGGATCACGCCAAGCACTTGGAGATAGTTTTACAAGTGTTGAGAGAACATAAGCTTTACACTAATTTCAGTAAGTGCGAATTTTGGCTGAAAGAAATTTCTTTTTTGGGTCATAGAATCTCTAAGAATGGAATCGCTGTGGATCCAACTATAGTGGAGGCAGTTACTTTATGGAAACAACCAGAGAATCCAACTGAAATTAGAAGTTTCTTAGGATTGGCAGGTTATTACCGTCGTTTTATAAAAGATTTCTTAAAAATTGCTGGGCCAATGACGGAGTTAATTAAGAAAAACCATAAGTTCATTTGGAGCCCAAAATGTGAAGCGAGTTTTCAAGAGTTGAAGAGGTGTTTGACTACGACTCTAGTGTTAGCCTTACCTGAGGGAGTTGATGGGTTTGTGGTGTATTCTGATGCTTCTAAAGAAGGGTTAGGCTGTGTTTTAATGCAAAAGGGAAAAGTTGTAGCCTATGCTTCTAGGAAATTATAATCCCATGAGATGAATTACCCGACCCATGACCTAGAGTTAGCTGCTGTTATTTTTGCTTTGAAGAAGTGGAGACATTACTTGTATGGGGTAACATTTGAGGTATTCACAGACCATAAGAGTCTTAAGTATCTGTTTTCACAAAAGGAGTTAAACCTGAGACAGAGGCGATGGGTAGAATTCCTTGAGGATTATGATTGTTCAATCAATTATCACTTTAGACGTAAACTCCTCTAATGGAGTGGGAGGTACCTCTCGGCCGTTTTGGTAAAAGTACTTGCAATATTCATGTTGGAGTCGGGCCCGAAAATAAGGGGGAGGTCGTTGCTAGGAGACAAGTAGAGTAGGAAATATTCTACATGGAGGTTAGGTCGTGAAAGTTGACGGAGTGTCAACTACCAAAAATTTCCTGATCAAGCGCGTGGACTTTGGCTCCTGAAAGCCTCGTATCCTTTTCTTGTCATGATAATTCGCTTTTTTAAATTATTAATTGCTTACTTGACAACTTATACTTGTTAAATTGGCTCTATGTGAATTGCATGTTTCGAGGCACCACTGAGCTATTGGTTCATCCTTTCCAATTTGTTTTCCTTGACAGGTTTCGAAATGCAAGAAACCTTGGAGATCTAGAATAGAAATGTTATCTTTGGAATGCCCACTTTTGTAATTGTACTTTGGGAAAACTTTAGTATATTTTGGATGACTTTTGTGTCTTTGGGAAAATGTGAATCCTGTGGTGCTTCTGTGCCCTGGATTATGAACTTTATATTGTAAATTAAGTTGAAATTAAGTATTTTAAGTTCGACGTTTTCATTGGTGTTTGAATTTTTCTTTTGGACGGGGTAAGTTGAATGGTACGATTTGTTTAAGTACTTGGCTTATTCGGGAGGTAAAGTTTATTTACGAATTATATTTGATGATGTTAGCTAGTTGAGCGAGTGAGTCCTAGCGAGAGTTAGGCAGGCGACCCGCCAACCCTTTGGTTCGCCTTAGGGGGAAGTGGGACCGTCACATAGTGAAATTCTTAGAAATCTCGAGGGAGGTTTCTGAAATTATTCCTTCTTTTAATGTGTGGGGAAAATGGAATATTGTTAAGGTCTTGACTAAGGTCATAGTTATTAAACCTGGTCCAAGAGAAACCCGATGAAAAAATGGGTCAACAGGTTACAGGTCAACCAGTGGGTGAGTGGTCAAATTGGTGGGTCACTAAATGTACTTAAAAGATTATGTCTCATAGTTATTGATCTGGTTGAAACTATAATAAACTATGCCATAGTAAATGCTCAGTTGGTTCAATTTATTATAGAATCATTAATTCTTATAAAAATTAATAAAATCTAAATTTAATTAGTAATCCACCAAATTTCAAGTATAAAATTTTATCTAAGTGTAATTATCTAGTTTATTCACAAATTTTAAGTGCAAAAGGTTATTAAGAATGATATTTGCCTTTAAAATAAATTGTGCAATATATTATTTTTTAAATCAATTTCATAACTTATAGAATTTGGAGAATAATAAAATTTTATTAAAAGATTGCAAACAAATTTTGTTTTGGAGAAATAAAAGAAGAATAAAAATCTAATAGATAATATAAGAAGAACCAAACAAGCACCAAATGGGTCGTTAGTCCAATGATAATTGCACTTTACTTGTATATATGAGGTTCAGGTCCAAATCATCACTTCAACATCTTCTAAAAAATTTTCACACAATAACTCGGGTTCCTTACAAAATCGCCTGATTCAGTCGAGTTGACCGGTTAAACCGTCAGTCCATTGACAAGTCAACGGATTTATTGCTCAAACGATCCATCCAATTAGCAACCCAATTCTATTTCATGGCCAGTTCACCGAATTGACCGGTTGAACCGTCAGGCGGGCTGGGTTTAATATCAATTACTTAGGTAGTCCTCATTTGTCTATACTCAACATAATAACTTGATCCATTATTTTCAAAAAAGAAGGATCAATATAGGACATCTTTTGAAAAAAAGAAGAAGAAGAAAGAAACTAATGAAAAAAAACAGACAGAGAGAAACTAATAGAGAAGTCAAATAAGTTGCGCGTTCACCTTTGAAACAACAAATGAAATATTTTTTATTTTTAACATTTTAACCAATGTGATCTTTAATCTTATGATGAACTATTTTGCCTTCTTAATTTTGTTAACTTAGAGAAAGTGATTCTTTTAACGAAAAATTTAGAAATTGTTGACGAAAATGCAAGACCCTTTAATCGTTATCATGCCATTTGTCTGGAAACTAAAGTGATTCTTAAATTTTATTTAATTGCAAATAATGAATGAAAAATTGCCCAAAACATTTTAGAATGAAGAATATAATTTTTTTAATTTTCTAGTTAACATATCAAAAGTACCAATTTTTGAATGAAAAATGTTTAAATTCATACTTGAAATTTGTGTTTAACAGAGTACAAAAATCTATTTGCATCATTGTAAAAAGTTTTAGGTGACTTTTATGAATTTTAAAATTTATTTACAATTTTTGAAGGTTTAAGGTTCTTTCCAAACCGATGGCACAAAAACCCTTAAAGCGTCTTTCGAATGCATTAGCAACTTTATATTTTCTATTAAAAGGATCACTTTGGCTAAATTTTAACATTTAGAAATAAAAATTGTTGTCATCATATCACGAGACTATATTGATGATAACCTCAAAGATGATGACCTAAAATTGGTCATATATGATCTATATGTTGTTTCAATGGAACATGTTAACTCACTCATTTTCTCTATTAGTTTTCTTTGTCAAAGATCTTACATTAGTCACTTTTTATGAAAATATGGAATTAAATTTGTATATGATGATTGATAAGGGACCACATTTACCAAGTCTCGAGAGGTAAGGGATCAAAATGATACAAGTAGAAAAAATTATCAAAAGATAAGGAACATTTGATATTTACAAATGTAATTTTTGAGAAACATAGGGATGGAAAAAAATTATAGTTCGTGGCCTATTGAAAACTATTATTGTTTTATCCAAATGTTCTAATTAGTCGCCGGCCTAGACGAGTGCATTACGCACCCGTCTGGAAACCAGTTAAAGTGGCTTGCCACATTTTAGTAGCAAATGGTGGGAGGCAAGGTTTGAACCATTGATCTCCCACCCCACCAAGCCTTAAAGGATTTGTTAATGGCCGCTCAGTGGTTTCAATAAGAAAATCACTTCAATAGTGTATAAAGTGTAGCACCAAAAGACAATGGTCTAGTAGTCAAAGTGACTCTATAGGTCTTAAGGTGCATTTGATAAAATTGAAATTTGAAAACTAAAATTTGAAATTTGAAATCTAAAGTCTGAATCTATTAATTATTGAATTATTAAGTATTAAAATCTTAACATGTGTGCACATTTTGCATTAAGTAATAAATGAATAGATTATCACTTATTTTTTTGAAGTAAGTTTTGTTTAAAAAATTAAGCGTCACTTAATTAATTAAGATGTTTTGTGTTTGGTTATCATATGCATTTGAATATATTAAGATATGAACTCATTAAATTAAAATACTAAATTGGATTATCAAACAAGATTTTAGATTCAATTCTAACTATTTGAATTAGAGGTCTTAGATTCAACTCTAACTATTTATTTCTTCTATTTCTTCTCCTACTATTTGTTGATTTATTTAGTAATATCGAGTGATTTATAGATTTCTTGTAATATT